GGGAACGTATTGAAAAACCAGCCGACTGCGTGGAAGTGACGCGACAGGCCACCCGGCGCTAGGGCGGACTCCGTGAGCCCCCTAGTGGTTAGTTACCCCAAACTCCATTAGGTGCCTCGGTCTGAGCCTTTTGGTCTGTGGGTAGCGAGGTAGGGACCCGTGAACACCCTTTGGGGAGGTCTTCGGACCGACCGGCCGAGCTAGCGCTACCCATTGGGAAGGCATGTTACATGCCGATCAGACACAATTGGGGATCCGCGCCTGATGGCATCAGCGAACCACGTGTCCGGGTACGGGAAAGCGGATAACTCCCCTGATTCGGCATGGTGAACAACCTATAAGACCTGCAGGGGTCACCGGCCGGACCGTAGCGAAGCAGGGCAGTCCCCTGTCTTCGGCTCGAGAGTACTAAATCCCCTACCGGTGCCGCCGAGAAACATCTCGATTCGGTGCTCAAGTTGATTCCCGGCTAGGCTCCATGTCGTAGATCTAGCAATAGCATCTTTTAGGCCGGCACGGATGGGGACGGCGACTCCGGGTCGCCGTCGGCAGATATGGTGTGAGCGGGTAGGTGCGGGTCCTTACTCCACACGCTGACTTCGGTCGTGGCCCGGGCACGCTGGTGCAAGTCTTAAGTGACGCGCTGGGTGGAAATGTCAAACAATCTCGGATAAAACGCTTACTTACATACCTACCGTACTCTGTAGCTATGTTTGGTATAAGACAAGAAAATAATAATAATAATAATAAGAGGTCTGCCTGCTCTTGCTCAAGTCTCCTCAGCTTCAAGTTCTCCTCCGCTGACGCTGTTCAACACAGATAGACGCTGCTCCCCGACGATTCCCCCTGCTCCGCACATGATACATCGTGTTTCCTCAACCTTCCTTTCATCTTGCGTCCGAGGATCAATATTAGGAATCTCAGGCTTGTGCGCTGCACTCTGACCCCATACACCAGTACCTCCACTCGATCCGAGACACGAATCTGCCGCCAGCTCTATGACAATAAGCCCTCTTCTTTTCTTCGTATGGCCAGTTTTGGCTTGGCATCGCTTCATGGCAAATTTGTGATTTGTTGCGGCTACAGTCGTGGGTCGTATATATCTCGGTCAAACACGCTATTCCCATCAAGGATTTGAGCAAAAACGGCTGCCTTCCACACATGCCACGAACACGAGAGGAGCCGACACTAGTGCATACACATCGCGAAGGAATAAGCCACAAGACAACAATGTGGCGAGAAAGTGGCCATACCCGAGCACCAAATTGTCTGTATGCTGGTGCATCACTGATGCCCAATATGTCGCCCTTACCATCGCCCTCCGACTCGCCCCCCGGTTCAGTACCCGTTCCACGCTCCTCCCCATCACGCGCCTCCAGCCGATTCGCCACACCATCCGAGTAGAATATGAAAGGAAGTGCGACGGTAGTCCGTCTTTGGTAGCACCGGCCCCAGCCGTAACTTCATCCTGCACGGCCACTCAGCCAACGACTACCTCCAGCAGACAATTGTCCCCTCCGCCGGCTCAAGCGACGCGGTCGGTGTAACATGTAGCGTGTCCACGACGATCTTCACGTGTTGTAGGTAGCGCATGATCGCTTCATGACGCGGAGCCTCGATTTCCCAGCCACAGGGAGAATTGTTCGGGCGAGTAACTCAGAGTGCCGCGCGTTGCTGGTGGCGTGATGTGCATGTATCCGCAGTGTAGATGCTCAATGTCATATGTGGACGCCAACGCCCGCACCACTGGAGCGAGACTGATTTAAACCCATTGCTGGAAGTACAAGCTCCTCAAAAGCATCAGTTCAACGCCCACACAGTAACATGGAGCTGAGACCTGTATCGAAGGCTGCTGCATGAGTCATCTAGCCCTGGAATGCAACCCCGCGCTTAGATGTCTCTGCCAGACCTCCTGCCGCATATCCAGTCCCTAAAGATATCCGGGTATTAGCCGCCACGCACCGACGCCACACAAGGTGACCATTCATCCTCACCTTCCCGCGTGAGCTCGATGATGTCCTTCTCTCCAAGCTTCACGTCACAGACAATGCATTGCTTCGCAGGCATTACGAGCGTATCGGTGCAGGTTTTGCATGTTACGTGTCCACAAGGTTTCATCACTGCCAGCGCGCTTGTCAGTCAATGGGACCAGAGTCGGGACACAATAGAGACGCACAATGCATGAGGGTGTTGTTGGACAGCTGCTTTTTGCACGACGGACATATGGGTGGCCGTTCGTCCTCCCGAGGTGTCTTGGACGTCGGTTCAGGGGTTTCGCCACTCTCTGTTGCAGGTGTAGACTCTACGGACTTCGCGGGAATACCGCTGGACGTCCTGTCGAAGGACCATTTCACCGGGATCAGGTGTTTCCGCCTGCATGCTCCATCGGTCAGTTCGTAGAATATCAACGATACTCAGGCTACGTACGCGAGCGGATGTGCTGGGTTCCCGCCGCGACATGTCGTTTGTAGCTTCACGTCCGAAAGCGAAGTGGGCGGGCCGCTGGACGTGTACGTCGGCGTGAGCGACGGAAGCCAAAAGTCGGGCAGCTTGCTCTTCAGAGCCTCGGCTTGCTCGCGCTCGATCTGCCGGAGAGCGGCCTCCTCAGCTTCGCGAGTAAGCCTCGCCACTGCACTCGTGTCGAAGTCGAACTTGCGTTTTGTTCCTCGTGCTTGGTCACGACAATCAGCATAACGTATCACGACAAGGAAGGGGAACGGTCAGACTACACGGAGATGTAACGCACCTTCCGAAGATTCCGCCTTGCTCGAGGACGTCGAGACGATGGACGTCGCCGCCAGGCCAAGCTGGCCCTTCTCGAACTCGCGCAGTACACGTTCCCTCGCGGCCTCTCGTGCGCGTTCTCGTTCCTCCTCCGCTTCCTTCTTCAGTGCCTCTAGACGGACCTTCTGTCTTTTGATGTCGCTGATCTGAGTCACTGAGATTGGCGTGCCGTACAGCGTCAGCAAGCCACCACAATCACAAGCGCGCCAACATCGCAGAAGAGTAGGGGTCGAGGTCCCGGGGCAAGAAGGACAAGCTAATGGCCAGCATACGCACCGAGATCCGTCAACGCGCACTCTTTGCAGAACAAGTGCCCCTTCTGGCACGCTACAGGGTCGCGGGCGCGCTGCAAGCAGAGAGCGCACGCGTCGAAGCGGCGCATCGACTCGTTCCCTAGACGTTGCTGCGCCGTTCGCGCGTTCGTGAGCAGCGCATGAAGACCCAGTGGTTACGCACGCGTTTGGTCCCGTAATCGAGCTTCTTGTACTCGGCGTACGAGAAGATGGAGGACGCCGTGTTGTTCTTGCTGTGTTTCGTCATCCTGCGTTAGGTTTTGCCAGTCGCCAGCTAAGTAAGGGGTCTGGATTGCTACTGCCGCTGGTAGCGAGAGAGCTTAACGAGAAGAGTAGGTATGCCGAAGGCAGAACTATACTTGATGAGCAACGTGAGAGTGTCTGAGACTGCGAGCAGGTGCAGGAAAGAGGTTGGTAGTGAGCGCTTGAGCAGCGATTCCGCGTCTGCATACGGGCGCTGCAGTGATTGCGTCCGCCGAATGTGGAGCACATTCAGTGCGTAAACGATAATAATGACCGACCTGCGTTGAGACCGGCTCAGAATACATTGTATGCAACAACACCCTTTTTCCGTGCCATACGTGTGTTCTTCTGTGTCTGCGGTCGAAGCACCGTTAATCGCCTCGAGGCTCATAAGAGGGCCAAATATTCATACTGCATAAGTAGGTATACGGTACGCATTACGTCGACATAGAGTTCATCTAAGTCCTTAGTTTACTCGCACACTTCTAGCATGGTGTGTCGCAAGCAACCTGCAGCCGTCACGGAGCCAGAGGCGCAGCGACCTCCAAGCTCGAACTCCATTCAATCACCTTCGGGTGCGCCTTGACCTGCAACACCCCACCGTCAACCTCATTCCCCCTGAGCAACAAAATCCATAGCACGCACCTTCTTTGGGTCGAAGCCCAAGACCTGCAAGCCCTCCAACGACGCCGCGCGCGACAGCGCGACGTAGCTCTGGCCCTTCTCGAACACGCTCCGGAGGTCGATCTTGACGTGCTCGATCGTCTGCCCCTGGCTCTTGTGTATCGACATCGCCCACGCGAGCACGAGCGGCACCTATCCCACGCATCTCCCAACATGAGCCACCCACTCGCATGTGTGTGCACGGCGGAACGAACGCGGACTCGGACGCACCTGCACGCGCCGCGCGAGCAGCTTCCCCTCGTTGTCCTCCACGCGGAACTCGTCCCGCACGACGAGCACGACCTCCGTGCCCTGCTGCGTGCGGAACTCGACGAGCGGATAGAGCTCTTCGTCCTTCGCCTTGCCCTTCGCCGAGGACGGCTTCACGTCTGCCTGCGCTGAAGCGGCTGCCGGTCCCATATTCTCCTTGCCGGATGGAGTCCGTCCGCACAGCGCGATGGGGGTCCGGCCGTCCGCACCGACCTGCACGTTCCGAATCGCCCCGTTCGCCTTCACGGAAGAGCCGCTCGCAGTGGACTCCTGTGATCCGGACGCAGACTTGGGCTTGGAGCCACCCACGCCGAGCCCGCCAAACGGCTTGACGTCCTCCCTCCCCTGGGACGACGCCACCGCCCCGCCGACGCTCGCCGCACACGCCGCAATCGTGCAGAACCCAAGGACGCGCCCCACAGAGCCGTTCACGAGCCGCTCGTCGACGTTCTTGACGAGCATGACCTGCGCGTCCGCCTTGAGCGCGAGCCGCGCGGGGACGACCATCTGCTCGAGCACCTTCTGGAGCGTGCCGGTGTCGCGCGCGACGAACGCGTGCACGGCGCCGGGCAGCGCGGCGAGCCGCGCGGTGTTGGCGCGCTCGACCTGCGCGCGGAGCGGGTAGAGCTCCGTCGGGAGGATGCCCGCGGGGAGCGGGGGGAGCGCGCGCGCGAGGCCGGTGAAGGTGCGCAGGGCGGTGGGGGAGATGGTGCCCTTGCGAAGCTCGTTGAGGAGGTCGACGAACTCTGTGCGGCGGGCGTGATCAGAACGCGGGCGTAGAGCGGGCGTGCGGATGGGAGGGTGGTCTTACGGGTGTCCTTTTGCCGGTATACTTGCGTGAGGGTGACGGTGTGGTCGATGCACTTCTTCCATGCCTCGCTCTCAAATGCGAAGAACGGTTCTGTGCCCGACTTGGTGACTGGGGGTAGCTGGAAGAAGTCGCCGGTGACGACAAGCTATCCGAGCCCGACTTCAGAACGGACGAGGCAGCATATACGCAGAGATGGGTCGCACCTGGATGCCGCCAAAAGGCCTGTCCGTCCTCTTGTTGCGCAGCTGGTCTGCGAGCTTAGCCAGGGTGTCGAAGAGCTCTCCATCGACCATGGATACTACGCGTCAGATCAGATAACGCTTCACCAACGCAGCAGGAGAGGTTATTGCCAACCTTCGTCAATGACGAGCACCTTGGTCTGTTTCCACCTCTTGAAGGCGGGTGTGCAAGTCTTGATACAGCTAATCTGCCGATCGATGTTGTGCATCCCAGGGGTGACAGCACCCCAAGAGTGTATCGTCATACCTGTGTACGACTTTGAATTGAATTGTATTGTATTGCGAAGGCAACGATAGACTCACCTCCGATATTGGACGCGGCCATGCCGGTACTGGCGGTGACAGAGATCACCGCTGGGTTCTTGTCGTACTTCTTCTTCAAGGCGGAGATGATAGCACGTAATAGCAGTGACTTCCCTGAGCCTTCACGAGCTGCGTTCAAGCAGACTCATGTGCAATGTTTATGGACTGACGCACCAGCAGCCCCGGTGAAGAAGACGTTCTTCCCTTCATCGACGACCATCTGGAGGACACGCCGCTGTTCGGTGTTGAGTGCCACAACCTCACAGGAGCCCTTCTCCTGCTTCGTTGGCGATGATATGGACACCTGAGGTGTGAAGAAGGAGTCGAGGGTCCTGCGCCGCTTGTTGCTTGCATCGTCTTGCTTTCCCGACACGCCAAGGTCACCGGTGGATTTGCGTTTCCTCGGATTCGTTGTCGTGGTACTGAGTACCGCACTGCGAGTCATCGTCGTAATTCGCACCAACTGCGCACGCCAGCACTGCGCGTCCAGCGGATAGGAAGGCTAGGAGACGCAGGGAGAGGAGAGAGTGGATGGGATCAAGCCACCGGGTGCCAGGGGCGATTCGCAGCCGAGTCGGGTTGGCGCGCTCTGTTGTCGCGTCCTGCTCACGTGCTGAGCGTGTTGCTGTAGATCTAATCAGACAAGATGAGATGGGGATGAGGATCGAGTGCCATCAGTGGCGTGCTCGCTGTAACAGCTCCAGTGTTGTTACGGGTCAAGTCAAAGTCATGACCCTTTGGTCAAGTCATGACGGGATCGGTCAAGTCAAGCGGTCATGACCGATGGTCACCGGTCAGCACGTGATGTGTTCGCTGTACCCCGAGCAGCTTGCCGCGCGGGGCTGGTTCGGCACCGTATAGCACGCTATAGCGCGTTGTTGGTCTATGTAACCTTGCAATTCAATATCGTACTTCGCTATATCCTCATATGATCTGGATTTCAATCGTCTACGCTGCACAACCAAAAGGCTGACAGGAAGGATGTATCAGAATCTCCCGTGCTGTCAGCCATTGCCACCAGGGCCCTGCAGCCCTTGCCCCTCCTTCAGGCATTTCAATTCCTCACCCAGAGGCCCTCATTCTTGTCCTTCTCTTTTGATACATCTCCAATGTCTCTGTTATTGTGGTGTTAGAGAATCCAGCTGC